CATATTTTTATTATTATTCAGTATCTTGATTTTCTTTTGATTATTATGTTTCATTAATATTTTGAATATATTCATCATTTACATTTAAAATTTCTTAAACATCATTTCTTATTTAATTTTATTACTAATCTATTTCATTTTAATTTATATTTTGTTCTTTTTCGTTTTTTGTTATTAATTATCTTCATTTTCTTAATGCTAAAATTGGTACTTTTATTTCACTTGAAAATTCTTCTTTTATTTAATTTATATATTCTTATTAGATTTCCTATTTTTTATTGTTATTATCTATTATTTCATTATTTTTTCTTATATAATTTCATCATTAGAAATATCATTTAATTAATCAGTATTTTAAGAACATTATTTTATTAATCTTCATTATTATTATTTTGTAATTTTAAATTATTTTATATTCTTGATAAAATAGCTTACAAATCTTATTCTTATTCTTCTTCTGAACATTGATGAGACATTTAAAAAAAAAAAAAAAAAAAAGATATAAAATTTTATTAAATATATAAAAAATAAATATATTATATTTAAAAAAAATAAAAAATAAATATTTATTATTTCCCTTAAATAATTATTAAATCTTTAATCATTTTTTTAATTAATTATATATTTTTGTTATTAATTTATATATACAAATTTTTTTCTTTCTAATTCTCTTTTAAATAAATTATATTTTTAATATTTTATTTTTTATTTTATTTTTTGATTACTTACTTCAATCAACTTCATTTTAAGAATTTTATTATAATTTTTCTCTATATTATTATTATTTAATTATATTTTAAAACTTCAAATCATTTTTTTAAAAAGAAATACTATTCTTCAAAATCTATTATATTTTTATAGGATAACTTTTTAGATTAATAGTATTTTTATTTAAAGCAAGTTCATTTTCACTTTCAAATGATTATTTTGGACTTTATTATTTAAATAAATTATGTTTTTTATACTAATTAAATTAAATGTTTTAATTATATTCATATTATTTATGAACACTATTATATTTTGAATAGCTTTATTTATTTTAAAATTAAACATTTTTTATTTTATTTATTAAACTTCTAACAGAATTCTAATGCTCATATCTTTAGAAATTTAATTATTTACCTTAACTTAAATTTTTAACTATTTATTTATTTTAAACTTTATTTTATTTTTCAATTTTAAATTAATTATTTTCATTTATAACTATATTATTTTTATTTTGAAATTATTAATATTTATTTAGATAATTTTAAATAGTATTTTTTATTTTATTATTATTTTTTTACAAAAACAATTCAGATTTTTTTATATAATTTTTAGTTTCTTTTGCATTAAAAAAATTATTAAAAATTTCATTTTATTCCGGTAAAGGTTTATATTAATAATTTTAAAGATTTTAATTTTTTAATAAATTTAAAGTAATTTAACTTTTTTCTTAAATATTATCAAAAACATATTTATTTAATATTTTATTTAAGTTTTTTTAAAAAAGAGGTGATTTTTTTATATTTAAAGAAGATTTCATATAATTTTATTCATTTTAAATTTTATTTTTTTGTTTATTTTTTTTATTTTAAATAATAGCTTTAAGACTTTATTATATTTTTTGAATTTTTTTTTTAGATTATTAGTTTTCTTAAAGAATATTTAATTAAGAATAATCAACTTTTTTTTAAAATTTCTATTCTTAATTAGGTTATTATTTCGGAGAATTAAAAATTGACAATAAACTAACATTTTCTAAATCTTTATTTCTTAATTAAAAATTCTGTAAAGATTTTGTATTCAAAATATTAAATTTAATATATATATTTTCATATTTTTCAATAAAAAGCTAAACTTTTTATTACTCATTAATATATTTTTACCTTGAAAAATTAAATATATGAATAATAATTTAAATAAGCCTAAATTAATTGTTTTATAAACATTTATTTGTATCTTCTTTAAAACATAAAATTTATTAAACTAATTCATTTGCTTCTTCAATATTTTTATCTTCAACTAAATTCATATATTATTATTAATTTAATTAAATTATTTAATTGATTAAACTTATTAAAATACCTCTAAATTAACTTTAATCAGGTTTTATATAAAAATATTTCTTTAAAATATTTTCTTCCTGTTCGATTCTTATATTTTCCTCTTTTTTATGCTTTTAGTATTGTTAATATTTCTGAATAAATAATTAATTTAATTGTTTACTATTTTAGTTATGATATTATATTTATTCTTTAATTAAAACTTGGAAAAACTATATTGTTCTTTCTCGATCTTAATACAGTTTATAAATATTAATAATATCAATACTTTCTTGTTAATATTAATTATTATATATTTGCAATTTCATTAAAAAATTATTCATATCATTATTTTAATTGAAATTTTGAATTTCATCAAGCTATTTTTGAAAATTTAAATTCAAAATTTTTGGATTACTATGTTATTGTTAAAGTAACTTCATTTTTTTTAGTTTATATAAAAAAGTAATTTTTATATTATTATATTTTTTTTTTTTAAAATTTTTTTTTTTTTTTTTTTTAAAAAAAAAAATAATAATATACGAAAAAAATACAATTTTATTTATATTAATTATAATAATATAAATTAAAAATATATATAATATTTATTAAATATTAATTACTAATTCAAAAATTAATATATGAGCTAAGATTAATATACAATAGATATTGAAATATTAAAAAAATAAGAAGAATTCCAATTCAATTTAAAAGAACTAATGATTTAGGTTTTAATTTATTATTTTAATTTAACTTTAATAAATATTAACTTTTTGTAAATAAATAAAATTAGAAAAATAAATATACTGAATAAAAAGAAGGCAATAAAAAAGTTTAATAATATTTTACTCAAGGAAAATTTGCATAAGGTATTAAAATATCTTAAATTAAATCATTTTTTTATTATAAATACAAAAAATATTAATATTAAAAAATAAATAAATAATATTTATAATAAAGAAAAAAATATGTTGTTTTGTTTAAAAAATAGCTTTATAAAAATGGGCAAAGAAATTGTATTTAAATAAATAGAAAGAGGTTTTATATTTCAATTTATAATAAATAATAAATAAAAATAATAGACTAATCTAAAGTCATATAAGATAAAAAAAATATTGATAAATAAATAAACTAATATTTATAATAATTAAGTAAGATATAACCTTATATTGAATTATTGGATTAAGATATTGCTAATTTATTAATAGAATATATAAATGATTAATTAGATGATTGAAAAGCTATTTAAATAATTTTTATTTATATATAATTAATTTATATTAAACTAAAAATAATTTATTTATATTTAAAATAAAATTATTTTTAATTATTTAAATATTATTAAATTAAATCATTTTTTGCTTAGAACCATTTTTTTTCAAATATTATTTGTTTTTAATGATAAAATTTTTATATATATGTTTCATTTTACTTTATTCAAAAAATCTTTATATATAATTTATATAAAACATCATTAAAATAATATAAACAATTAATTATTTAAAATAAAAAAAATATTATAATTCAAATCATTTATTTTTTCTTAAATATAATAATATTTTTATTAAATTAAAGAAGAAAATTTATTATAAATATTTAAAAATGTTCAAAATTTATATTAAAAAATTAAATTATGTCTATTTATAAAGGCAAGTTCATTTAATAATAATAAAAAAATTAATAAATATATTATTATTACTTTATTAATAGTACATATAATAATGATATATATATATTGCTAACTTTTATTCGCTAAGGAATAATATATATAATAAAAAAAAAAAATCTTATTTTTATCATATATACTTGAACATATTTTTATTTCTTAATTATATTTAAAAAAATACCTTATATGTTACAAATATTATCAAAAATATATTAAATTAAAAACTTAAATTAATTATTAAAATAAATAAATACTTTTAAAAAATATAAAAGTGTTTTACATTTCGAAAAAAAACACATATAAGAAGAAATTAATAAAAAGATATTAATATAAAACTTTTAAATGATAAAAATTAATAAATTTTTATTTATAGAAATAAATAAATTTATAAAAAAATGTTAATCATATAAAATATATAAATAATTTATATATTATATAAATAATAAAATTAGACAATTTATAAAAAAAAAAAAATTATAATTTGGTTTAATTAATAGTAATAAAATTAAAAAAAAAAAATACACAAAAAAACATTTATTAAAAAAGTTTGATAATAGAAAATATAATAAAAGAGATATATATATATACATATATAAATAAATAAAAAAAATAATAATAAATGTATATTTATATATATATTTATATATATTTATATATATATATTTTTATATATATTATTTTTTTATATATATTTATTTATATATACATAATATCTTTATTTATTATATTTAGAATGAATTAACATTTTTTTAAAATATTAAATTTTTAATTATTATTAAAAATTTATTATAAAATACATAACTTTTATATTTTTATTATTTATATAAATAATTTTACTCTATAATTTTTAAAAATAATTTTATTTTTAAATATATTAGGAAATTTTATGATTTTTTAATACTAAATTTTTCTTTAAATATTAATTTAAATTATTAATATTCAAATTTTAAAAATTAAATGAAATTACATTATTTTATTTATAAAAACATTATTTATTCTGTTAATAATATATATATATATTTTTGGAATATTTATTTATAAAGATTTATTTAATTTTTATTTGAAAACTTAAAATAATATATAATTTTTAAAATAATTTTTTTTTTATAAATATTTATATTTATTTATATATATATATATATATATTATTATTACATAATTTATAATACAAAAATGGAAATTATAGAAATTACAAAAAGTATTTTAGGTAAAAATTTCATAATAAAAAAATTCATGAAAATTTATAGATAATAAATTTTTTTCTCTTGGCCTAGCTGTAGGTTCAAGTTTGATAACTTAAAGCATCCTTTAAAAAATGACAAAAAATCAATAAGATATATAAGACAAATAAAATGATTTATAAAATAAATTAGAAAAAAAAGGGACAAATAGAAAATAATAAAGAACAATAATAAGTAAAAAAAAAATTGCATTTAAATAAAATATTTTATAATAAAAATTTCTAAAAAATAAAGTTGAAAACGAAATTCCAATTCCAAAGGAAATCATACACGCTCATAATACTCTTATTGAAGAAATTAAAAACTTAGAAAGTAGAACATGTACAATATTAAAAGTTCCAAATTTGATAATGGAAATGGATGTAATTAAAAAAGAAAATATAATACATATTATAATTTTCAAAAATTAAATAAAAATAAGTAAAACGAAGATATCCCATGTCACCTAAGTCCTTTATTCGGTGAAACAAATTTCCGTGAATTTTATGGTGGAGGTGGTTTTTTACCTGAAAAAGCTTTCATATATACTGGCTCATATGTTTTAGGTAATAAATATACATATATAAATAAAAATTATATATAAAAAAATAGCAAATTGTGTAATTGGTAAAGGAGAAAGTATAGATTAATCTAAAAGATATTTACGAGCCGGTCCTCGTAAACACAATTATTTCGACCCGAAAAACGTAAAAGTCGCAATAGTGACATGTGGTGGTTTATGTCCTGGCTTAAATGTAGTAATTAGAGAAATATATATGTGTTTATATTACAATTATGGAGTTCGTGAAATTTATGGTATAAAATACGGTTATAAAGGTTTCTATTAATATGAGTGGGAAAAGTTAAATATTGAAATTGTTAGAGATATATAGAGGCAAGGTGGTACTATTTTGGGTACATCTAGAGGAGGATTTGACAAAGAAAAAATAGTCGAAAATTTAATTAAACATGGTGTAAACCATGTCTATTGTTTAGGTGGAGATGGTACTCATAAAGGTATAAATGCTTTATTTTAGGAATTAAAGGCAAGAAAGTTGAGTATATCGATTGTAGGAATTCCTAAGACAATAGATAATGATATTCCTATAATAGATAAGTCATTTGGGTTTGAAACATCTGTAGAATAGGCTGTAAAAGCTATACAGTCTGCTTATGTAGAGGCTAATTGTGTAGAAAATGGTGTGGGATTAGTTAGATTGATGGGTCGAGCAGCAGGTTTTATTGCTATGGAAGCCACAAATGCATCTAGAGATGTCAATTTATGTCTTGTGCCTGAATTTAAGTTCAATTTATATGGCGAAAAAGGCGTATTGGAACATGTCTGTTATGTTTTGAAACAAAAAAAAGGTTGTGTTATTGTTGTAGCAGAAGGAGCTGGAGATGCTGTTTTAGATGCTAAAGTAGAAAAATCAGGGGAAAAAGATGCTTCAGGAAATGTAAAATTAAGTGATATTGGAATGTTTTTATCAAAAGAAATTGTTGAATATGGAAAAAAAAAAAAAAATATGGAAATTACTCTTAAATATATAAATCCTACATATATGATTAGAACAGTACCAGCTAATGCTTTAGATAGAAAAATGTGCATGTAAAAATATATTTATAATTATAAAAAATCTAAATAAAATATTTAAATATATATAATATTTATAAATTTAAAAAAATATTAATATATTATTTATTATATTAAAAAAAAAATTAAATAAATTGATATTAAATATATTAATATATATTATTTATATATATTTTAAGATAATTAGCCTAAAATGCGGTTCATGGTGCAATGGCCGGTTTCACTGGATTCACTGTGGGACATATTAATAATAAGTTATCTTATATTCCACTTGGTGAAATTACTAAAGTTGGTAATATTAGATAGATTTAACCTTAAGATAGAGCATGGTAGAGACTTTTGGCTTCTACTGGTTAACCTAGTTTTTTAAATGAAGAGAATAAAATATATTAATGATTTATTATTTTTTATTTTTTATGAAAGATTTAATTATTTTTATTTTATAATTTTTTATTTATTACAATTTTTAATATAAATAATTATAATATATTAAAATTAATAATAATTATAAATAATTTTATTATTTAATAAAAATAGCAAAATAATTTTTTTTTTATTGACATAAACATTTATAAATTATGATAAGGAAATACGATATTTATTTAATAATACATAAAAATATATATTATATTTAAATAAGATATTTTTTTAATATTTTTATTTAAAAAATATTATAAAATCAAATAAAATTATAATAATTTATATTATTAATATAAATAGAAAAGCAATATAATAATATATAATTACTATTTATAAATAATATCTTAATAACTATATATTTTAAAATAATTTATACATAACTCCATAATGCCTTTTAATATTTTTATAAACTTACATACCTTGAATTCTCATTTAAACATATTCAAAACTTAAAATAGACGAACCAAGCCTCTAAAACACATTTTTATATAGTTTTAAAAGTAAAAATATTGTTTGAAAAAGCAAATTATTTTACATATACTATTTAATAGCCAATTAAACATTCTTTGTTAATTACTTTTAATTTTATAAGTTAATTGTCTTTTAGAATTTCAAAAAATTAAAAAAATATTCTCATAATATTTTTATTTGCACATTTTCTTTAATAATATTTTCATTTTTATAATTATTTAATTGTATATAAAATAATATATATTAAAAATATTATTGTTTTATAATTCATATAAATATATTTAAAATTTATCGTAGTGAATATAGTATAATTAAGATATGTATTTACTATTTTTTTAATAAAACAAACTATTTATAAGTATAAATGTTTTAAAATTTAATTTTTATTATAAAATTAAAAATGATATGATAAAAATAATAACACAATGATTTTTTAAAAGTAAATAATGAAAGAACACTTTTTAATATTGATATTTTATAATTATTATATCTTTTTTTATAACAAATTTATATTCCATAATCTTTTTACTTTTATTATATTTTACAACATATTACAATTTAATTTTTATTGTTTTATCTTTAAATTATTAAATTATTTTCAAGAAAGAATATCTAAAAAATAAAATATATATAAAAAATATACATTAAAATAAAATAATATAAAATAAAAATAAAATAAAAATTTATAATTAATTTTTTTTAAAATTAATATAAAAAATATATTAATATAAATATTAAATTAAATTTTTATACATACTAAAAAATATTTTTTTATGTTTTTTTTTTCAATGTTTTGTAGTTTACATAATAAACTAATATATAAATCTATAAAATTAATTTATTTAATTTTATTTTTATTAAAATTATAAAGAAATCTATTTTAGTTATATTTAATAAAAATATTTAAATTAGTAAGTTGTAATAAATTTATTCAGTAATACGTAATTCAATTAATGATATTAATTTTTCAATATTATAATTTTTGCAATGTAAAATATATTAATTAATTTTTTATTTTTAAAAATATATTCTTTTACTTTGATTCAAAAATTATATATATAATTTACTTTTTTTATAAAAATAAATAAATATTGTTTTTTTTTTAAATATATTTTTATTGCGTATTATAGTATTTAAAATTATGAAATATAGTTAGTTTTAATACTAATGAAATTTTAAAAATTATTAAAAGCTTTTATTAATAATAAAATTCTTTAGAAATTATTCTTGACAATAATAAATAAAATAAAATTATTCAATAAAATAAAGAATAAATTAGATATTTAAAATTAATATATTTTTTATTTATATAATTTTACCTTAATGTTATTTATTTGAAATTCATATATATTATAAATTATTTTTATTCTAATAATTGGGAATTTCAAATTTTTAATACTTTATTTTAATATATTACTTTTATTTATATTATAAAAATAAAGAAGGTTATTAATTAAAATAATAAAAAAAATTCAAATATATATATTAACAAAAACTAGAAAATAAAAATATTAATTAATAAAATATAATAATTAAAAAATAAAAAATAATATAAAATGGCTGATAACAATAATTAACCCCAGGCTAATAATGAATATTTAAATTTGAAAGTTAAATCTTAAGTAAAACTAAAAATAAATAAAAAAGTCTTTTAACAATAAATTAAATAAAACAAAAAAATTTAGGATGGAGAAGAAATATTTTTTAAAATTAAAAGAACAACATAATTTAAAAAATTAATGGATGCTTATTGCTAAAGAGTCCAAGTAAAAAAATATGCTTTTTAAAATTTATTTTAATACATAATCTTTTATATTATAGGTAAACTTAAATAATGTAAGATTTCTATTTGATGGCGATAAAATTTTAGAATCACAAACTCCAGCAGATGTAAAAATAAAAAAATAAATTATATTATAAATAAATTTATATAATTATTTTATATTTTAATTATTTTTAAAAAGCTAAAAATGGAAAATAATGATGAAATAGATGTTGTTATAGAATAAACAGGGGGATTTAGATAAAAGTATTGAAATATAATTATTAAATTATATATAATATTAGAAAATATAAAGTTTCTGTATTGTGTATTTATAAAAAAATATAAAAATAATAAAATTAAATATTATAGAAGTTTTTTAATAAAGGTAATATTAAATTATAAGGTTAAAAAATTATTTAATTATATATCTTAGATTAATATAATTCAAAGTATATATTATTTTATAATATTAATTTTTAAGAACCTAAATATTAAAATTAAAAATTTAATTTATATGAATAATAATTAAAATTTAGTTAAAAATATAATTTTTAGTTAAAATATATTAAT